GCGATAAACGACTTGCGCGTCTCGTCGTTCTCGAGCGCGAGCTTGGCCTTGAACTCGTTGTCGATGTTGGACATGTCGCCGTCGTTGTTGTCAAACATGCAGAACCACGTGAGGACAAGCGCCGCCAAACAGATGCCGGCAAACGTGTACCACGTGCCGACGTAGCCAAAGCCGGGCGCCTTCACCCAGTGCGCAAAGCCGTACGAGCCAATGGCAGCACCCGCCTTGCCCATGGCGGCCGAGAAGCCGTGGCACGAGCTCTTGATGGCCGTCGGGTACATCTCCGTGGGCATGACGAACGTCGACATGTTGGGGCCAAAGTTGGAGAAGAAGAGCGTCAAGCCAAAAAGGATGATGAAGAGCGCGCTTTGGCCCTTGATCGAGTCCCACCAGATGGCGAGCACGAGGAAGATGATGGTCATCCACGTGAGACCCTGGAGCTGGATGAGCTTGCGGCCCATCTTGTTGATGAAAAAGCACGCGACGTAGTACCCCGGCAGCGCCACGAGCGAGATCAAGACGTTCTGGAGCGCGATCGTCTTGAGCGTCGAGTTGGCGCCAATCACCGAGAGGATCGAGGCCGAAAAGAGGTTTTGCGCGTAAAACACAATGTCAAAGAGGAACCACGTGCCGGCCGTACCGAGGAGGCTCTTGCCGTAGTGCTTGAGGATGAACGACCAGCGAATCTTCTTCATGTGCACTTCTTCCGCAAGCATCGTCTTGTACACGTGCGTCTCTTCGGCCGTGATACGATAGTAGACAAGGAAGAGCGCCGGGAGGACACCGACACCAAAGAGCACGCGCCACATGATCTCGAGCTGCTGCGGCGTGTCGTCGAGCACGTTGACCATGATGAGACCCATGATGCCGGCAATGAGGAAGCCGACACCCTGGAGCGAGAACGTGAGCGCGACGCGGCGGTTGCGGTCGGCGGGCGACGTCGCATCTTCCGACGACGACGACGCCGCGAGCGGGTACTCGCCACCGATACCGAAACCGAGGATACCACGGGCGACGACGAGGAACCAAAGCGTACCGAGGTCCGAGCCGCCGTAGGCTGCCGCACAGAGGATACCACCGATGATGAGGAGCGCGCAGGTGGCCACCATGCAGTTCTTGCGGCCGTAAATATCACCGAGAACGCCAAACACGAGCTGACCGAGGACGGCGCCAATGAGTGCGGACGTCGAGACGCTCGACTTCATGTTGGAGTCGAAGACACTCTTGCCGTACTGGTGCTCCAAGATGACGTTGATGATGTTGATGACCGAGAGATCGTACGCATCGTTGAGGAACCCAAGGCCGCGAAGGAAGAACTTGTTGACCATCGTGTGGCGTGTGTGGTGGCAATTGAATTGTGAGTCGAACGGCGCCGCCAAAGTGCTTTCACGCGCGCCATGCGGCTCGAATCTTGCTAAATTCGATGCTGGTTTCTGTCTCTGTGTTTGTATCAAGTCCAGTTGGATCGAATCTGCCGCGGAGGCTCCAGGATCCGATGGACGTCGTCGTGTGCGAAGTTCAAGGATACACGCCGTACCCAGTTTCTGCGGCCACCACATGGTGCCACGTGAGCATACAAACTTGCAATGATAGCGCCGGCACGACCAGGCTGGGTGCAGTGGTCGCCGCGGATTGGACATAATTGTGTCGGTACGCACGTTTGATTGGCCAAGATCCGCGTGACTTGCACCGTGACGTGGGACGCCGGGATCGAGCACCATAGGAAAGGGCCCTTGCACGAGGAAAGGGCCAAGAAAGACGAGGAAAGGGGCGATAGGTCATCGTTCCATCGCACCAAAGATAAGCAACGCTGTCAGAGAGGCGACCACTCGAGAGACCCCGCTACCAAGAGCTTCGAAACCAAGTGCTGGACGCTCTTTGCGAGCTTTATACTGTGTGGTTTGGAACAAGAAGACGCCGTTCTACCGACATCGAACGACAAACGGGAAAGAGCTGGGTGGGAGGGTGACGGAACAACGTTACACCCCTACGAGGGCAACAAAAGGACAAGCGGAGATCGAGGAGCTTTCACCAGCGCCCTTTCTACGATTCCT